GCGGCCCGGGGGCGGGGCGGGGCCGCGGGAGCACGGGGTGGGGCTGGGGCGGACTGGGCGGGGCGAGTCAGGGGGCGGGTTCAGAATGGGTGTGGCCTGGTGGGCGTGGTCGGGAGGCACTGGGAATGAATGGTCGCGGTCGGGGCGGGGCGAGGCTGGGGGTGCCCGATCGGGCCCGGGGGGAGACGCAGTTCACGGGGTGATAGGGCTGTCCTCACCCTTCCCTGGCCATCACAGGTGTCCCCACATGCCGCGGTGTCCCCAGCTGCGCCAGGCCAGCCCCATATGCAGGGCACGGCTGTCGCCACACCCACTACTGGCCATCACGGGTGTCCCCACGTGCTCCAGGCTCTCACTGTGATCAGGGCACAGGTGTCCCCATTTGCTCTGGGATGTCACCGTGGGGCATCACATGGGTGTCTCTCTCATTCCCCACGTTGTCACCACGAGATAGAGCACGGACATCTCCCTGCATCCCCAGGCCACCACCATGGCAAGGGCATGGACCTCATCCTGAATCCTGGGGTTGTAACTGTGGGATAGGTTACGGATGTCCTCTTCATTCCCCACACTATTACCATGGGATGGCACATGGATGTCACCCCCTGGGCTGTCACCAAGGGCAGGCACAGCCCCATTGGTCCTCAAGCTGTCACCAAGGCACAAGGCACAGACATTTTCCTGTACCCCCAGCCTCCCACTGTGAGTCAGAGCACAGACATTTTCAAGGGTTCTGAGGCTGGCACACTAGGACAGGGCAGAGATGTCCCCGACACCTCTCAGGCCAGGGCACAGACTGCCCCCAGACACCCTGAGCTGTCACCATGGGGAAAGGCACGGGCAACCCCTAGGGCCAAAGCTGTCCCCTCACCCCTCCCGTGTGTCCCAGGGCTGTGACCATGCAGTGGAACAAGCAACAGCCCTGAAGTGAGGACCCAGCACGTTTCCAGGCTTGTGCAGTGCCATGGGCTGGGATGAACCCCTGCATCATTGCCACCGCCACGGGGAGGAGTCATGGACATGGACAGAGGTTGGAGCCAGAATCCTTTAAAAACTTGTCCTTTATTAGTCTGTCAGAAGCGAGCCCCTCTGTATAGGGCGTCCCACCCAGTTATAGCAAAGTGAGCAACGTGAAGGGACTGATCCCCTCCTGCCCGCGGCCCCCCCAAAACCGGGGGGAGCGCGGGGACTGGGGCGGGGGCCAGGCTGACGGGGCCATCCCTCCCCGCACAGCCCCGCCGCCGGCATCCCCTTCCCTCCCTCCCTCCCTTCCTCCAATGTGGGGTGCCCCTCATCCTGTGTCCCCCCCGGGGTCAGCTCTGGGGCTGGGGAGGAGCGCGACAGCCCAGCACCCCCAAATCCCGCAGAGAGCGATAGCACCAAGGGGGACGGCTGCTCCCCGCAGTTTATTCCGCGCTCCCTGCCGGGACCGAGGGGCGGGGGGGCCGGACGCTGCCGGGGAACGCGGGGTCCCTCCGGGGAACGCGGGGCCGGGCGCGGCCCCGGGATGGACGGGGGGGTCCGGGGCTTGAGGAGAGGGTGTCTCAGCTTTGCTTCGGATTTACATTCTGGACCATGCAGTAGCACCAAAGTTCATGAGGTGATCGCTGACGGAGCGTTACTTCCGCTTCCTGCCGCAGTACTTCCCTGCCGCGCAGCCCGCGCCTGCCCGGGGGATGCGGGTCAGCCCTCCCTGCAGGAGGAGCGCCCCGCAGGGATGCGACAGGCGCGGGGGCGCGACCGGCCCCTGCGAGCGGGGCACCGCACTCACCTCTAAAGCCCAGGGCACCCAGAGCTCCTCCGTAGGGCTTGGGGGGCTTCCCTGCAGCGGGAAAGCAGAGCAGGGTGAGCGGGACCCCCGCGGGGATACGCACCCCCACCCCAAAACACCCCGCGGCGGGAATGGATACTCACCACCGAATCCCAGGCCGCCGACCCCACCTGAAAGGAGAACGAAGCCCTCAGCATGCACGGGGCACCCCCATTTCTCTGCCCCACGCCCCCTCCAGGCCAGCCCCCCCGGCTGAGCCCAGCCTCCGGGGTCCCTCGCGGGCCCGTGGCCGTGTCCCCTGAGCTGGCCAGGCACCGACACAGGCCCCGGGTGTGTGCTCAGGTGCTGAGCTGGCGGTGGTACCTGGAAACACCGGTGATACGCCGAAGCCGGGAACTCCAGCGCCTGGGGAGAAAGCAACAGCCCGTGACAGCCGGTGACAGCAGTGCCACTCTAGCGTGGACTGGGGACAGCCTGGCTGCGATCCCTTGCTTACTCCAGGAACAGGAGCTGATGCAAAAGCCGCCGTCCCCACCCTGGCACTTCTCTGGCTTCCCAGTGCTCTCCCAGGCAGCCATGTGCCCAGCAGGGAATGGCAGCAGCATGGGGACAGCAAGCAGGGATGAGTGTGGCAGGATAGGGGACACACTCACACGCCAGCCCCAAACTGCAGCATTCACCTGGCTGCAGCCCCCCAGCACCAAAACCTGCAGGTGGGTGAGCCCCAGTGAGGGTGGGGAGCGTGAGCACAGCCATGGGAATGTGGATGGGGACAGGGACTGGAGTCACTCCTCCAGCCCCTCTGGCTGTCCCTTACCTGGCTTGGGAGGTTTCCCAGCAGCTCCTGGATACAAGAGTCCTAAGTCAGAGGGGGGCACCAGTGCAGCCCCTGCCCGGACTCACTGCCCCAGGGCTGCACCCAGACCCTTCAGGAGGGGCCCAGAGGGTCCTAGGAGGGACCTGCATCTCCACATGCTGGGGACAGGGTGCAGTACCATCCCCTGTTCCCATGGCATGGGCAAGGCTGGGGCTATGGCCCTCAGCTCCTGCTCAACAATGGCAATCCCTTTGGATCACCCTCTGGGAACAGGGCAGATGACAAACAGGACAGGGAACAGTGACAGTGCAGGGTGGGATTGTACTGTGAGACTGGGAGGGGACAGAAGTGACCCACAGACTCCCTTTCCTTTTCATGGCTCTGCCAGCACTCTGCTGCTGCTGCTGCTGCTCCCTGCAGCCCAGCCCTGGGGAGCCCCACGCTGGGACCAGCATCACTCACCGAGGCCACCAACTCCAAGCCCACCGACTCCAAGGCCACCTACAAGGAGTAGCCAGGGTGAGCACCAGCAGGGACAGACAGTGTCCCCAGTGTCTGACCCGCTCCTCACCCACTCCCAAGTGTGCTCATCATTTCTCGGGCAGCTCCGCTCCCTCCATGCCCAGAGGGAGCATCCCTCCAGCTCCATCCCTCTAGGGGAGTATCCCTCTGCCTGCGCATCCCCACTGCCTGGGCTCAGCTCCTGACAGCACTTACCTGGGAGGCCACCAACTCCTGGGACTCCAACCCCAGGAACACCTGCCAGAGAGATGCCATTAACACCTGTCCCCCCACAGCCTGGCACCCCCGGCTCGGAGCACCCCCAGCCACTGCCCAACCTGCTGGGGTGGCACTGGCACCCACGCTGGGAGTCCCCAGCACCCATCTCACAGTACCCAGAGGGGCTTCAGCCCCTGCGTGACACACGAAGGAGAAAACTGTCCTCAGCGAGTCCAGGACAGGGGGTACAGGCTGCACTTTGTACCCATGAGCGACAGCACACCACCTCCCATGCCTGAGCCATCAGGGCAAAGTGGCCTTGCAGGGGACAGGAAGAGAGGTCAGCACCCCGATGGCCACAGGAGAAGGGTGCCCAGGGACATCCGAGGTGGCCCTGGGGCAGGGGGCAAGGGTACGTACCGAATTTGGGAGGTTTAGCACCAGGTTGCACCCCTACTTGGGGGATGCCTGCAAAGTGAGTGAGGACACCACGGTTAGGACAGTCACCCCCACCCCGCTCTTATGTGCCACCACCCTCCATCCCACCCGCATCCCTCCCTGCCACCCCTTCACGTGGCTTGGGGTTTATAGCATTCCCAGCCACCACTGTCCCCAAGCAGGGCAGGACAAAGCACCTACCTGCCCCGGGAAGGATGCCAGTTCCAGGTACTCCCACCCCTGGCACCAAGCCTGGCACACCACCAACGCCAGGTGCCACTCCGGGCACTCCGCCCACGCCAGGCACCACCCCTGGCACCCCTCCAACCCCAGCACCTGCAGAGAGAGGGGTGAAGCAGCCGGCATGATCCCCGTGCTCATGTGGGAGGATGTGCCAGGCCTGGGTGCCCAGCATCCCCTGCACTGGTCAGTGCCACACCAGGGCTGGCAGGGAGCCTGAGGGGCTCCCCAGGCTCACTCACCGAATTTGGCTGCCTTGGCTGCTGCTTTGGCCGCTGCTGCTGGACCTCCGACACCTGGGCAGAGACAGCAAGGGGGGGTCAGACGCTGGGGAGGCCTCACAGCAAACCTGGGCAGAGCCCATCCCTCAGGCCTTGTCCCCAGGGGACGCTGCTGAGGTTCTCCTCAAGCCTGTCCTGCCCCCAGAACTGCCCCCACACCAGCCAGGCTGCCCTCACCCTTGCCTTCCTCCTCCTCACCTGGGACACCTCCAACACCAGGAACCAGGCCACCTACTCCAGGAACCAGGCCACCCACGCCGGGAGCCAGGCCACCCACGCCAGGAGCCAGGCCACCTGCTCCTGCAAGGAGAAAGAGAAGGACTGGGGCTTCAGCTCAGGAGGAACCGTGGTAGAAGGAGTTGGATGAGAAGGCATGGCAGGCTGGGGGGGGCGGGAGGGTGAGTGGGTGAATTGATTATGAGATGGATATGTGGCTGGATGAGGCGTGGTTGAAATGATAGGATGGATGAATGGTTGGATGGTGAGATGGACACATGGATGGTGGGATGGCCAGATGGACAGATGGATGGAGGGGTGGTGAGATAGATATGTGTGTGAATGGGGAGTAGTTGAATGGATGGCAGGATGGATGAATGGAGGGATGATGAGGTGCACTAATGGTTGAAGGGATGGTGAGATGGATATGTGGATAGATGGGTGGATATGTGGATGGATGTGGAGTGACTGAACAGATGAGTGGAGGAGGTACAGATGGATGGACAGAGAAGGGGACAGACGGACACTGAGGTGGTCGTGTGGCTGGGTGGGCAGAATGGGGTATGGATGGACCAAAGTATGCAAAGGTGGTGAACTCGGACATTCCACAAGGCTCAGCTCTCTGGAGAGCAACCCTGACACAGCCAGAACCTCATCCCGCATTCGGGAGCTCGTCCCTCACCCCGACGCCCAGGGACCCCAGGCACTGCTGGACCTCAGCCCCAGCAGGGGAGCAGCCTGGAGTGGGGATGAGCAGGAGACAGGACATGTGGGATAACCTCAGAGAGATCCCGGCTTACCGTACTTGGCTGCTTTGGCGGCTGCTTTGGCAGCGGCTGCCGGACCTCCTGGGGGACAGGGAGTGAGAGGGTCAGGAATGCGTCCTGCCAGCACTGCTGGGGACATCCAAGCATCCCTTGGGCACAATCTCACCTGGAACGCCGACCCCAGGCACCAGACCGGGCACACCAACACCTGGCACACCCACTCCGGGAACGCCCACTCCGGGAACGCGTCCTGCTCCTGCAGAGAGGTTCAGGGATGTGTCCAAGGGGGCAGACTCCACAGCAGGAATCCCACTGACCTCCACAGCACCGGGGTGTCCCCACCTCTCCTGTGTGCTAACACACCTCCTCCCTCCCTGGGACAGCCGATGGTGACGGTGGTGACAGTGGTGACTCACCAATCGCCGCTGCTTTCGCTGCAGCCTTGGCTGCGGCCGCTGCTGCTGGGCCACCCACTGTGGGGACACAAGGGACACAGTCAGGGTACTGCTGAGGCCAGCATCCCATCAGCAGCTGCTGACAGCTCATCTGCTCACCTCCAACACCGGGCACAGCACCAGGAACCCCAGGCACGCCAGGAACACCAGGGACACCGGGAACTCCAGGAACACCAGGAACACCAGGAATGCCTCAGGCCCCAGGAACGCCAGCTCCTGCAGGGAGCCAGATGGGAGAAGTCAGATCTGGCTGCAGCAACAGCTGAAAGGTAGGGCCTCATCTGACTGTGTCTTGCATTTGTGGTCAGGAGAGCAAATCATACACAGTCACTTCAAGGAGAGACCCAAGCAGGGCAGGAGAGGGATAATTTCTGTGTCGCTGCTAGACCTGGTGGGATGCATTCCAGGATCCCACCAGGTTTTGCAGGGCAGTGACCCTGGGCCCCACGCAGCACATACCGTACTTAGCTGCCTTTGCTGCTGCTGCTGCCGACGGCACCCCTGGGGACAAGGGAGACACAGACCCTCAGCCACCATGGCCCTGCGGAGCTGGGCCACGGGGACAGGGCTCCAGGAACAGTCACCTGCCACCCCGGGGACACCTGCGACGCCGGGCACTGCCCCAGGGACACCTCCGACACCGGGTACCAAGTGGGCATCAGTGGTTTAACCCTCAAAGGAGAGTTGCCATTGGACATGATTCCTTGTGGAGATTTCCAAGACTTCTCATGGAGATACCCAGAGCTCCACAGTGACAGTGAAGGAGAAGGTTGTGAGACCTGGCGAGGTAAGTGCTGACTCTGTGTTTTGGAGAAGAACATGGGCCCCCAATGAAGTGTGAAACCTCAGGGCATGTTCTGCCTCCTTCCTTGTTCAAAGCTCCAGACTACCCTGCTGATTTGCCCTAACCATTGGCCATACTGTAGCTCCTTGTTGGTGGTTATACCTGATGGATCCCACCATCCCACTGCATTTAGGATGACAGTAACCCTGGGCAGTGGCCACTCGGCCAGGAATCTCTGCCATAATGGCAGCAACACTGAGCCCTTGGGCAGCAGATCCTGCAAGAGATCAACTGCTGGAAATGGATTTGGTACAAAATCTAATAATTCAGTTAAATCTACATCCATGATTTGGGGCTCATTGTTCATTTCCAAAAGGCAGCCTGGAAGAACCCTGGAGAGAGAGAAGGTCCAGCCCTGCAGATGGGGCCAGGCCCAGGAAGAGCAGCCAGGAGCTGGCCTGAGCATTCCCCATTTCCCCTCAGGAGGGATCCCAGGGGAGAGCCCGAGCCTGGGCACCCCCGTGTGTCAGGGCGGGCAGGGTCCCGGGGCTGGGGCCCCACGCAGCACATACCGTCAATTCCACCACAGTTTGGAGGACAGTGACCCTGGGCAAGGGTCCCTCTGCCAGGAATCCCTGCCCTAATGGCAGCAACACTGAACCCTTGAGTGGCAGAACTTTTGTAAGGTCTGCTAAACAGAGTTCGCACAAAATCCTAGAATTCAGACTAGTCCTAAGCCATAAATTTGGACTAATTGTTCATTTCCACAGGGCAGTCTGGAGGAACCCTGGAGAGAGAGAAGGTCCTGCCCTGCAGATGGAGCCAGGCCCAGGAAGAGCAGCCAGGAGCTGGCCTGAGCATTCCCCATTTCCCCTCAGGAGGGATCCCAGGGGAGAGCCCGAGCCTGGGCACCCCCTCTGTGTCAGGGCGGGCAGGGTCCCGGGGCTGGGGCCCCACGCAGCACATACCGTACTTAGCTGCCTTTGCTGCTGCTGCTGCCGACGGCACCCCTGGGGACAAGGGAGACACAGACCCTCAGCCACCATGGCCCTGCGGAGCTGGGCCACGGGGACAGGGCTCCAGGAACAGTCACCTGCCACCCCGGGGACACCTGCGACGCCGGGCACTGCCCCAGGGACACCTCCGACACCGGGTACCAAGCCAGGGACACCTCCGACTCCGGGCACGAGGCCGGGGACGCCACCCACACCGACACCGGGAACGCCGGCACCTGCAGGAACAGGAGGGGACAAAACAGAGCTGGCTGCAGCAAGAGCTCAGTGGTGTCACCATTGTGCCCCAAAGAGCAGAGCATCCACGGCCTCATCCAGGAGAGAGCCCAGCGGGGCAGGGCAGGGATTGCTAGGCCCAGTTGGGTGTGCTTCTGGACCCCAGCATATTTTTGGAGGATGGTGACCCTGGGAAGGGGCCACTCTGCCACGAATCTCTGATATAATGTGGGCAGCACTGAAGCCTTGGGCATCAAATGTGCAACAGATCAGCTGCTGGAAATGGATTTGGTACAAAATCCAGGAGTTCATGTAAAGCTGAAGCCATTAATTGGGGCTCATTGTTCACTTCCACAGGGCAGACTGGAGAAACCCTGGAGAGGGAGAAGGTCCAGCCCTGCAGATGGAGCCAGGCCCAGGAAGAGCAGCCAGGAGCTGGCCTGAGCATTCCCCATTTCCCCTCAGGAGGGATCCCAGGGGAGAGCCTGAGCCTGGGCACCCCCGTGTGTCAGGGCGGGCAGGGTCCCGGGGCTGGGGCCCCACGCAGCACATACCGTACTTAGCTGCCTTTGCTGCTGCTGCTGCCGACGGCACCCCTGGGGACAAGGGAGACACAGACCCTCAGCCACCATGGCCCTGCGGAGCTGGGCCACGGGGACAGGGCTCCAGGAACAGTCACCTGCCACCCCGGGGACACCTGCGACGCCGGGCACTGCCCCAGGGACACCTCCGACACCGGGTACCAAACCAGGGACACCTCCAACTCCGGGCACTGCCCCTGGACCAGGAGGGAAGCAGAGTAGTCAGACCCCCCACAAACACCTCACTGCCGCAGTGGGGACATGGTCTGTCCCAGGGTGACTGGAGTCTCTTGGGCACCAGCTTTGTGGTGGGCTCCTCACTCATGCTAAAGCAGCTCCTCAGGGTACCTGGGATGTACTCGGGAATTTGATTCCCAGCTCCCTACACCCATCAGGGTCCTGGCCACCCAGGATATTAGGGACTCCCAGGGTCCTCCAAGGCTGTGGCTACACATCCCAGCTCCCTCAGGGCTGGCACATTTTCCCTAAATTCTCCAATGTTTGATCTGCTCCTCACTTTTCTCCCCTGGAACAGCCAAGGGGAAAGCAGCAGAGATCTGCATCACCAGGAGCATCCCCCGCTAGGGAAGAACAGCTTGACACAGACACCAAGTCTCGGCCACCCTGCTGGCACCGGGCACAGTAAACCCACATCTCGTGGGGAGACTGCATGTGATGGGCATGTTCTGCCCCCTGCCAGGCTTCTGCATCCCGAGGGGGCCGCCAGGCCTTCATCACTGCTGGAAAAGCTGCTGGAGCCGGGACAGGGGGCAGGGAGAGTAACCCATAGAATGGTGTAGGGACTGCTGGGGCAGCTGTGGAGCCACACAGCCCCTGGCATCGATGCACGGCTCTTCCCTGTCCCGAGATGTGTCCGAGGCAGCAGGAACTCACCAAAAGCTCCCGCCTTTGCCGCTGCCTTTGCCGCTGCTGCCGCCGCTGCCGGTCCTCCAACTGCCGGCATAGCGGGAGAGAGAGTCAGGGTTGTGGGATAAGGGAAGAAGACCCTCCCCGAGCCCCAGGGCAGAGCCCTCTCATCGCCTCACCTCCAACTCCTGGGACACCGCCGATGCCGACACCAGGTGCAACTCCCGGGATGCCGCCAACACCGGGCAAGACACCGGCTCCTGCCGCGAGGGACAGCACGGTCAGCGGGGACACGGGGACACAGCCAGCACCCCGGGGCTAGGAGGGAGGGACGGAGGGAGGGGGGACAGGGAGCAGCTCTCTGCTGGGGAGATGGGTGGTGTTTGTGCCGCAGAGGGCGACTTACCAAGTTTCGCTGCTGCCTTTGCTGCTGCCGCCTGTGCTCCTACCCCTGTGGAGGGACACGGGCACTGAGCCACCGAGGTCCTGGGACCATTCCCACCTCAGCTCCCCCACCCCACAGGGACCCTGGGGACCGGGCACTCCTGCCAACATCCGTCCCCCTCTCCTGTGGGAGGTGCTGCTCTCTCCGGGCTGTCCCTGCAGTCCGCGGACAGCCGGGCAGTGCCCAGCACCCGTCCCGCGGCCAGCAAGGTGACAGGGTGCGCCCTTCCCTGCCATGCCCGTGCCACTCCCCACCCTGCGGCTGCGGGGTCCAGTGTACCTGTCCCGGTGGGGTATCCTGCCTTTCCTGCCAGGAGGCCGGCTCCTATCCCACCGGGCCTGAGGCCTGCAATCACAGCACAGCGGCAGAGCCACGTCAGGCACGGGCTAGGGGAAGGACAACGAGACAGACGGAGCAGCCCCCTTGGATCTCCTGCCCCTGGCGCCAGAGCATGCAAGGGGATGCCAAAGCCAGCTCCTCCCCACTTGAGATCCCAGTTCAAACATCCCTGCCTGAAGCTGGAGTGGCTCAGGACATATCCTATGGATTAACAGCTCCCAGGAATGCCAGGAGAGTTGAGTTCCCAGGCTGGTCCAGAGCCACCACGGGCAAGGGACGAGGTCCCCAATGGACTCCCTCACCCTGGGATCAGGATATCTCTCACACCGCCCCGAGGGTCCGTGGCCACAAGGTCACGGTGGCAACCACGAGGTTGGTGGAGCCACGAGGAGTGAGGACACAAGCACTCACCATGGAGCAGCTTACCATTGGTGTAGGGCAGTCCATAGCCACCTGAGGACAAGAGGAGAGGACAGGAGAGAAGGGGGAGTTAGCACCTGGCTGCTGCTGGCCCTGTCCCCTCTGCCCCACAGCGTGGCCCTGCTCTGCCAGGGCCCTGCAGCACCGGCCCAGGGGCTCCGTCCATTGTGATAGTGAATCCTCTGGGATACAAACCCCCATGCTGGAGCTGGGCCAGGAGATGCTGTTCTCCCTCACCTTAGAAGCAGTGACTGAAAGAGCCGCCCCCTCTGAGTCCAGGCCGAGGGCTGTGGCGCCTGAAGCTGTTCTGCAGGAGCCTCCCATGACCCCGCTCCAGCGAGGGGTCCCGCGGGAGCCCCGCGGCAAGAGCTGTACCCAGCTGGCTGCACCCCAGCCAGCCACGAAGGAAAGGTTTTAATTGGAATCAGGGTTTGGGAGCCTCGGCTGAAACGTGACCTCGCTAGGAGGTCGGCGTGAAGGGATGGGGAGGGATTATGAGCTGGGACATCGCGGCCAGGGAAATGTCTCCTTGCAAAAGAGCCAGATCCCAGCACTTGGAATGGCGGGGATGCCCCTGACTCAGCAGGGACCGTGGGCTTGGCAGCCAGCAGTTCCCAGCTCCCATCACTGCTGGCAGCAGCCCAAGGCCATGGGCTGTCACATTCCCGGGGGGAGACACCTCGAGCTGCACAGGGTGGGGGGTGCCTCCAACAAGGAGGCCATGGGTGGGGATGTGGCTGCCTGCAGCCAGGATGGAATTACTCATGGCACAGCATCTCCTTGAGCACTGGACTCCATCCCCTCCCAGCAGCCAGCATGTGGGGACCAGATTTCCCTCCATCCTGCCAGGCAATCCCATGGTGTCCCACATCAGCACAGTGGTGCTGGCGGGCAGATGCTCACAGTGAGCTGTGCCAGGTGTCCCCCACCTTGAGGGCCACCCTTGCCTATTCAGGGGCACCTTATCAGCACCTTGCTCACCCTAAAGCTGGGAAAGGGGTGACACGCATGGAGGTGACTTCAAGGGCCAAAAGTCCAATTGGGCCTTGGGTCTCCAAGGGTTTTGCTGGGTCCAAGTCCAGCTCCCCACCACCCCCAGCTGGATGGGAAGGCAGCCCTTGCCCTGGGGCTGTGTCCATGGGAATGTCACCAGCACTGCTAGGGGGGCTCCGGCCCTGCACACAGTGGGGCTCTGCACAAACGGATGTCACCCAAACATAGCTGGACACTGGGGAGTGATCCCCATCCCTACGGCATCAATGGGACCCTGACCTCAGCCACAGCTTCAGACTGAGCCTCCAGTGAGGTGGGTGACCCTAGGGCCACCTCCTGAGTGGGGGCAGCCCAGGAGAAAGTCATCCAAAGAGATGATTTTCCACTGAAAATATTGTTTGTCCCACTGTCCTCTCTTCCCCTCTCAGCCTGGACCTACTGCAGCTGGGACAGGGCAGGGGACAGCCCACGTGTGGCAGCCCCGGATCCACCCACAGCATCAAGGCAAGAGCTTCCACAGCCAGCAGCACAGTCTGTCCTTGCACTGCCAGCCCTGAGCCCTCGGAGGTGACAAACTGGCATCTCCCAGCACCCCAGGAAGGTCTGGAGACACCCCCATGGTCCTGGTCCCTATCCTGGGGCTGGGACCTAGACGAGGTCCACAGGCAGCAGGGCCGAGTCTCCTTAAGGATCATAACTCTGTTCCACTGCAGGAAACAGGAGTGGGCCAGGATCCCTGCTGCTGCTTGTGGCCATGGGCCCTGCTGGGGGGAAGCCAGCAGAGCTGCTGGGGCTGGAGCTAGGCTGGGATGTGCTGGGCTGGGATGTGCCTCATGGGGTGGGCTCCTCTTGCTGAGGCTCTCCTGCCTCCAGCAACTTGTTTGGGTACACAGGGCAATGCCTGCGGATCTCCAATGCACTCCCCAGCACCCCCAGGGATGGGGGCCCTGCCTGGATGGGGCTGCCCTCCTCCTCGGGATGCACTGGGGAGCAGCCAGCTGGCAGCATGGCCCCTGGAGGGCACAGAACTTGCCACTGTCCCTCAGTGGGCACGGCTGCCTGGGGACAGGCAGAGCTGGCACCTGGCACAGGGCTGGGAGGGGAAGGTGCCCAGAGCAACCCAGGCTGGGAAAGGGGTGCTGAGCTCCCCCAGGCTGACCTGGGCTGGGGCTGAGCCCTGTCCAGGTGGGCACTGGGGACAGAGATCTGCCTGGAGCCCCCCACTGTAGCCTCAGCTACAGTTCCTTGAGCCAGGACACCTGACCCAGGTGAATGCCCCGCCCATCCCCAGGAGCTACAGAAACCAGACTGTCCCTGCAAGGGCTGTGCCTTGTGCCAGCAGGAGCTGGCCAGGACATCCCAGGGTGGTCTGGCCCAGGTGTGTCCCCAGAACGTGATCCTTCCTACCTTACAACAGCTGGAGGGAGGTACAGCATCATCCACATGAGCGCGGGGCAAGAACAGAGGCATCACCCCAGGAGCTGCCCGTGGGGTGCCACAGGAGGGCACAGCAGAGCCCCAGGCTCTGTCCTGCTGTCCCTGGGCCAGCACAGGCACTGCCAGATCCAGGGGACCTGTGGGCACCGTGCCTCATCCCTGGGGAACGGTGGGTCCTTCTCCTGACTGCTGGGGTTCCTTCACCCACAGTAAAGCCACACTGCTGGCTGTGGAGCTTACCTGGGAGCTTAGGAGCTTTGATGGGATAACCCAAAGGGACACCGGGCTGCTGACCTCCAAAACCTCCCAGTCCTGCAAACCAACAGCAGACTCTCACCTGGAGCCCGCGCCACAGCTGCCACCAGTCCCAGAGGGAGGGGAGTGCCCCAGGGCACCCCGGCAGAGGAGAGTGGGTGGCTTGGGAAGCCCTGAGGCATCTTCTGGTGTGGGGAGACCATGGCTATGAGGAAGAGGCTTGGGAAGGAAGAGAAGGACAGGCAAGAGAGACAGGACACTCACCAGGGATTCCTCCAAAGGCTCCAGCTCCTAAAAGGAAACACAAAGACACCTATGTGAGCCCTGGGCTGCTCCTGGAGGCCCAAACTAACCTAAGTGGATTCAGCAGTAGGTTGGCTTCACTGCCAAATGGCCTGTAGAGCTCTGATCCCAAAGGCTGGGCTGGGATGCCGAGCTGGAGCCAGCCCTGAACCAACCCAATGTTCCAAGGGGATGAGGGGACCTACCTGGGGCTTTAGGTTTGACTCCAGCTCCAGTGGGGACTCCAGGCAGTACTCCCACGCCAGGGAAGCGAACACCTGGAGCAGAGACCGGAGGGGTGAGCTGGGGCCTCACTGGGGATGTTACTGGTACCCAAGACCCCCACACCCAGCTTCCAAATTCCTGTCACCCATGGCACCCTCATCCTTGGGGGCTTGCTGGCACCACCCTGTGCCAGCTGCCTGCACCTCCAGCTGCCAGGAGGGGTTTGCTCCAGGCCTGGAGCTGCCTGTGGAACAGTCTGGGAGCCTGCAGGGAATATGGCACTCAAGAGGGGTCCCACTGGTGACAGCAAAGCCAGGCCTCGGCAGTGCTCTCTGCCCTGCTGATGCTCAGTGGCCTGGGGCCAGACAGGGCTCTCAAGCCATCCAGGGCACCAGACAGTGCCTTGGAATCATTTGGGTTGGATTTTTGGGTTTTGAATTTCCTTTTGGTTTGGGGTTCTTTTTCCCCTCTTACAAATGTCTTTCATTATAACTCGAACATTTTCAGACATGGAAAAGACATTCCTGACCAGCAACATGCTTCGGACAGTGTTGAAACATCTTGTTTTCACAAGTTTTCCTCCCCCAAATTACTTTGCACTGAGGAATTCCTCTCTCCCGCCACCTCCTCCCCCTCCTTCCCTCGTGCTAGCCCTGGTGACTGTGCCAGCTCCTCTCCCAGTGCTGGTGCTGCCTGCTCCCGCCAAGCTTGGCATGGGATGGAGTTGCCGGGTCCCCCTGTGCCTTTGGCAGGGTGGAAATGTCACTGTAGCCTCAGCCAAGGGGTTTGGAAGCTGTGGGGAGCAGCAGGACCCAGGCAGGCAGCAGCCCAGGGTGCTCTCCCACAGGGGTGCTGGCACTGGGCAAGGACCCGCTCGGAGTTGGGGTGCCGCTGGCAGGGTGGGGACCCCCTCGGAGTTGGGGTGCTGAGGTGGGGTGGGCACCCCCAGCTCACCTGCGCCGGGGAGCACGCCTCCTGGAAAAGCTCCAGGAATCCCAGCACCTGCAGGCAAAAGAAATTCAGGGATGAGGGGCCGGATAGAATCGCTCCCCGCCCCGGCCCCGACGCCGGGGCCGTCACCTACCTGGTATTTTAGGGGGTTTCCCTGCCGCGCCAAGGCCGGGCTGCACCGCGCCCGGTACCACGGCACCTGCGGGCAGCAGAGACCCCTGAGCCCCGGCCCGACTCCTGCCCACCCCGGGGACAGCTCTGCCCCAGGCTCGGCTCTGCTGGGAGCGAGGGGTATTTCCTACCTGTGGAGACCCCGAGGCCACCAGGACCACCAATTCCACCCACGCCTCCAATGCCAGCACCTGGGGGCATTGGGAAGAGGGGTGTACCTGCAGCTGGCTGCAACGGTGCCAGAGAAGGGGCAAACTCAGGATGGCCCTTAGGGGGTGAAGGGGATACCGTGAGGCAGTCCCAGGGGTGGGTCCCCCATACTGGGCACAGGGACCAGGCAGTTCTGTGGTCTGTGCTCCTGGGGGCTCAGGTTTGACCAATTACCCGTGCCTGGGACCCTCTGAGTCACTGGGGAGCCCAGTGAGAGCATCAGCTCCTGCCTGCAGCCCCAGCTCCAGGGGAAATCTGTCCTGGCCCAGATGCCCAGGGGACACCAGGAGTCCCTGGGGGCTGCCTGAGCCCCAGGCCCACCTTGCCCAGACCCCCCAGCACTCACCAGCTTTTGCAGCAGCCTTGAGCGCCGCAGCCGAGGCGGCTCCCGGGAACACCCCCCCGGGGAAGGCAGCTCCGGGGAACAGACCCGCAGCACCTGTGGGGAGAACAGCCAGCATCAGCACCCCAAAAAACAGCTGCCAAGAGGGTGTCCTCTCCTCGCGGTGGGCACAGGGGCCAGTGAGCTGTGGCTGTGCCAGGGCTGCGTGGCTGGCGTTAGGCTGGGCAAGGTGGCGTTAGCAGGCACTGCCCTGTCCTGCATCCCCCAAATTCACGCTCCCATCCACATCCCACCTGGCACACACAATGCCTGACAGTCCTGCAGTGGGTGCTGACACCCCTGGAGGCCCTGGCTGACCCCCTGCAGGCACTGTCCCTCTGCTGCTGGCCCTGCAGGGACCCCAGGTGCCTCCTCTCCTGCGGGGTCATCTCACTGTCGTTGATGCCATCATGCTGAGGGCCCTCAGGGCTGCCTGTTGGGTGGCTGGGTCCCTCAGGTCTGGGAAGGGCACCCAGCCTGGATGGGAGGCACCCAGCACTCTCTGGAGAGCTGTGGAGATGGGGATAAGGGATGTGCTGTCCCCAAGGTGGGTCTCTGGGGACATCACCCAGGGGATGGCCCGGAGCAGGGGGGGACAGTGGTCAGTGCTCACCTGGCTGCAGGCCAAGGGGACCAAGTCCCCCAAGTCCTCCGACCCCCCCAAGTCCTCCGACCCCTAGGAAGAGAAGGGGGGTGAGGTGAGGAGAGGCCAGGGACAGAGGGGTTCCTGTGGCACCGTGGGGATGGGAGAAGAGCCCAGGGACGGGCGCAAGGATGGTGACAAATGTCCTCGCCAGCACTTGGGTCCTCCATTCCATCCTTCTGCCTCACCCACCCCCATCCTGCCGGGCCACAAGGGGACAGAACCAAAATGTTTATGGCTGAGGAATGAGTCCCTGGGTCTCCGGCCAGCGCTGCCTTCCAACATCTGGGGCTCATCAGCCCTCGCTCCCTCCAGGCGCAAATTCCGGAGCCGCTGGCTCCGGGCGCGGACACCGCTCCGCCTGGGCCTTGCAGCCGCCCCGCGTTTGGTTTTAATTATGCCGAAATAAAGGGCCTTGTTTTTCTTTCCACGAGCTGAAATCTGAGCAAACGGAGGCTGTCGGCCCCCGCCTCGGGCTGCAGCTCCCACTGCGCGGCCGGGCCAGCTCGGGGGGCCGGGGGCGTGGGGCGCCCCTGCCCGGGGCACAGTGGGGACCCCTGGGGTGGGCACGGAGGGGACCCCCGGGTCTGCCTGAAGCAGCATCTCTCCATGGGGATCAAGGCACCGGGCAGAGAGTGCCAGGACAAGGGGGAGTGGTTTGAACCAAAATAGGAGAGATTTAGATTCATTGTTAGGAGGGAATTCTCTGCTCTGGAGGTCGTGAGGTCCGGGCACAGGGTGCCCAGAGCAGCTGTGGCTGCCCCATCCCTGGCAGTGTCCAAGGCCAGGTTGGACAGGGCTTGGAGCAGCCTGGGACAGTGGAAGGTGTCCCTGCCCATGGCAGGGAGTGGGTTGAGATGGGCTTTAAGGTCCCTTCCAACTCAGGCCATTCTATGATTCCGTGATTTCCCTTGGCCCCAGGTGCTGCATGTTCAGTCCCTGCTGCCCCAGGCCCGGTGTCCTCCAGCTGCACATCCTCCTGGCAGCATCTGCCCTCTCTCCTGTTGATGTCCCCTCTCTCCAGCATTCCTAGGCCAGGCAAAGCCCAGCATGGGCTGCAGGAGCCTCTGCAAAAGCTACTTGGCCCCAGTGGCAGGCAGGTGGAGGCACTGCCAGCTTCCCACCAGGACACTGTCTCCTGCTTTGCATCTCCTCCCGCAGCTCTGACGCAGCTTTACAGGCAGCAAGCACCCCCAAAGCGTGGTTTGGGGGGCTGGGGGCAGAGGGCAGCGCCAAAGCGGAGTGTGGGAGGGAAGCTCCCAGAGGCTGTGGCAGGATTAGTGTGGCAGGGCAGGGCTGGGTGTGCCTTAGCCACGGGGAAGCAGCACGAGGGCAGCAGTGGTTGGGAAATGTCCCAGCCACTGGCCTGGAGGTGGTGAGAGCCAGGGAAAGGCTTCTTACCTGGTTTGGGAGGTTTTCCTGCAGCCCCGAGTCCTAGGGGAGATGAGTGGAGGGAGAGGGGTCAGAGCCATCCTCCCTCTGAGCATGCCCGGGCAGGGCACACGTGGGACAGGGCCAGCCTCGTGGCAGACCCCCTGCCCAAACAAGGCACATCCACTGGGCATCCTGGCCCTCTCCCCAGCCCAGCCCAGCCTGCCAGGGGGTCCCAGCACTCACCTGCTCCCAAACCTCCAACTCCAGCACCTGCAAGCAAGGGCACAGTCTGAGCACTGCCCTGGGAGCACCCAGCACCCAGCTGGCTCCCGAGGGTCCGTGGGGAGTTGGGGAGGTTCACACGGGTGTCAGGGGATGGGCCATCCCCTGACATGTCCCCAGGATTTTAGCTGAAAATCTGGGGACAGACTATGACCTCTGAGCACCTCCTGTGGCCAGGGCTGGGCAGGGTGTAGGTGCCAGCCCTGGGCAAGAGGCCCCCAGGGTAAGCCTGGCACTGCCACCCAGTTGTGTCCCAGCACTGTGGGGCTGATGCTGAGTCCATGGTGAGCAGCCAGACAAGATGTCCCCATGTCACCTGATCCTGGCTGGCAGGTCCTCAGCCTTCCATGGTGTCTCAAAGGCATTCAAGGACCCCCCAGGGACCTGACCGTCCTTGCAGGTGCCCCCTCCCAAAGGTGCCTGGGCCCCCTTACCTGGGAAAAAGCCTCCTCCTGGGACTCCCCCTCCCGGGATAGCACCAGGAACCCCTGCAAGAGAAGAGACCCTTGTTAAAATCCCCCCAGAGATCCAGGCAGGAAGGCAGGGGACTCCTCCTGGTTCCCCTGCTGCTCCCTGCAGAGAAGTTGGGATGTGGAGCTCAAGGGCAGGTCCCTGCCTTCCCTTGCATCCCTGTTTGCCCGGGGTGACAGTGGTGGCAGGGCTCGGAGTGCCCCAGCTGGGACCCAGGTGTCAGCAGGACCTGGCCTGCATGGCGAAGGAGGGAGGGACATGGGGCTGGCTGCTGTCCAGCTCTGCTTCCCAGATCCTGCCTCATCCCACAGCCAGGGCTGTCTCCATCCCCTGCAGCCTCACGTGGATCTGGGAGATGGGTCTGGGCATGGCCAGGAACATGGGGCTGTCCCAGTCCATCCCCACAGTCCCTGATGGGCCCAGCCACGCCTGAGCATCCTCTGGGGCTTCCCCAAGGATCCTTGGGTGTGTCCTGTCTGCCGAGGTGCCAATGGGAACAGCCAGCTCAGGCACAGGGGTGACAGACTGGGGGGACACTGCTGAGACCCATGGAACCCCCCAGTGTCCCCCTGCCTGTCTGTGTGACACTAAGGCCACCACCCAGGTTCCAGCACTTCCCAGGGCATCTCAGCTCATGCTCAGAGGCCACAAGAAAATTTTTTGGCTGTTTTGTATGCTGGCAGTGCCACATGTCTGCTGCAGGCCACCAGGCTGCCCCCCTGGCTGGCCCCCCAGCTCCACCAGGGCCGTGGGTGGGCTGGGGACTTGCAGGTGGGCTGGGGACACGAGGGGGCTGCAGTGCAGAGGGAAGCTCCTCTTCTGGCAGCAGGGAGGGGTTATGGTGGGGTTGGCAGGGCAGAGCAAGGCAGAGGGGCTGCCAGGAGGGTGTAGGGGGGCTGCCGTGGCCACAGTCCCCGTGGGGAGCTGCAGCCAGCCCTGGTGTCTGCACTGCCACAGGGGATGGACTTCAGGGGGCACTGGAGACCCTGTGGGGGCCTGGCTGGGACCTGAGGACCTGCAGTGGCCTCCCTAGGCCCAGGAAGTGGGTGCAGCCCTGGCAGCACCACCACGGGCTGGGCAATGCCCAGGGGCTGGCAGGGCAGTGCCAGCACCCAGGGTGGGCAGGCAGCTGGCAGGGCTGGGACAGCACGGTAGAGCACATTGTGCTGCACATCTCCATCGCATATGTGGGGCAAGCTCTGGGGGCGTACCCCACCCCGTGCCCCACCAGTGGCAGGGATGAGGGTGTCCCCTGGACCCTGCTCACGTGCCCTTTCCACCCTGGGCACCTGGCAGAGATGCCCAGCCCCCCAGAGGGACGCAGCGGGGTGTCAGGACACCCCCGCTTGTGACAGGGGTGTCGGGCTGTGCGTGCTCAGGAGATGCTGGAGCTCGGTGGCAGGACAGGACATCGCTGGGGATGCAGCAAGCAGGGGGAGGAGCCGTGCCAGGACCCATCGCACAGCCTCAGGCCTGCGCCCCCCTATAGCCCCTCCCGAGGTTCCGCCAGTGTCCCTGGGACAGGAGGGGACCCGTGCTCAGCTCTCTGGCACGGCCCGGCCCCGGCCAGGGGATTCCAGAGCAGCTCCTTTTCCCGGCCAGGGGGTGACAGAACGGCTCCTTTTCCCGGCACATTCCCCGCCCACACCGCCCCCCCAGCCTGGAAAAACACAACTCCAGCTCCTGCCTTGTTTCCCAACAAACTCCAAGCGTCCGCTCAGCGCCAGTTCTCCCTCCCAGCCCTGCTGCCGCTGGGAGCCAGTGCCGGGCACGGCCAGGGACCCCGTGGCACAGCCAGGGACTGTCCCCACCCGGGAGGGGCTGCTCAGCTCCCATCATACTCCCCGGCCTCAGCCCCCCAAAACTAGGTAAGGTCCCTAGTGCTGGGGTGACCCGGACTGACCTTCTCTATCCCTCTGTCACCCTGTGCCACTGCTGGAGACTCCCAAGGAAGCTAGGACAAGGATTTCTCACAGCATCCCTGTGGTGTGGTGACCACAGAAATGCCCAGGTGTCACCTGCCTACAGCCACAGCTGCCAAATTCATCCCTTTACCATCATCATCACCACCGTCCTGAGGCACTGAGGGTCCTGCCAGGAGGGTCCCACTGTGGTGACACTGCCACTGTCCCCTCCCCAGGCACCATCCCAGAGACAGAGCTCTGTGCCTGGACGTATTTGGGAGGATTGCAGAGGCTGTGCTGGTCTATCTGCTGCTCCTGCCCAGACCAGGAGGTGGGCGGGGGGCAGGTCAGCAAGGCCTGGCAGGAGGAGACGGGATGGCCCGGAGGCAGCGGGATGGGCGGTGGTGCCATGTGGCTTTAGGGGGACAAACCTTTCCCTCAGGAGCTCTTCCTGACCAGCTCTGCTGCCAGGCACAGCCAGATCTGCACTGACCCAGATGCTCCTTCACAAGCTCCCCCCAGCCTTGGGCTGTTCCCTGGTGCAGGCACTGCTGGGGGGCCTCTACAGATCCCCCCAGCACCTCTAGTCCCTCCCCCTGGCAGCACCACCGAGCACAGGTGTTGGTGACAGCCCACACACTGGTGACACCGTGACCACGCTGGGCTCTGGCCGTCACTCTCTGGCCATCTCTGTCCTTGCCCAGCCTCAGGGCCAGCAGCCCCCAGCCCAGTCTGGGGTCTGTGTGCTCCCATTTGTCCTCTCCACTCATTGCCTTGGCACATCAGGGGAGGGGAGACTGAGTCAGCAGCTTCCCAGCGCTGAAGGAGCTCTGTGCTGCCTCTGCTCTGAGCCTGCCAGGACCCTGGGAAGGGGATTTTCCTGGGCTCCCAGCCTGTCTCCAGGGCTGGGCTGGCTGTGAGCCTGCATCCCACCCCAGGGACAGCTTCTCAATCCAGGGACCAGAGAATTCACAGCCACTCGTGCAGCCCCAGCTGTGTCAAGGTGTGAGCCATGGAGGTGCTCAGGATCTGGTGTGGAGTCTCCTTGTTTATGGGAACGGGACATTTTCCCCCCACAGCTCCATCCACAGGTGTGGATATCCACACTGTTCCGCTGCCAGAGCTGCTTCCGATCCTGTTTGGATCGGCTGCACCGTTTCTATCTGCACCAATGCTTGCAGCTCCCTTCACAAGGCAGAAATGCAGAGGATTTCTCTATTCCATAGGTTTTGAAACCAAGGCCAGGACGGAGAATCCAGCACAGGACAGCCTCATACCTCACCCCCTCTCTGCGCCCATGGGCACCCGGAGGAGCCTCAGTGCAAAACCACCAACGTTTCCCCTCTTCCCTCATTCCGCTGTTTTCTTTTTCTTGGGAGAAAGTTATGGAAACATTCAGTCTCCAAGCGACTTTGAAGCTGTGCTGCATCCCGGGCCGAGCTCGCTGGTAGCAGCTCGGGGGAGCGGGGGGGCTGCTGCCGGGGCCTGGCTCCTCTCCAGCCCCCCTGAAGCTCCAGCTTTCATCTCCGAGCGCTGGCGGGCAAGCTGCACCCTGCCAGCTGTGAGGGGAGGGAGCAGCCCTGCAGGCCAGGGTCCGCTTGGGAAGGGGAGATGCCATCCCAGCCCCATCCTGGGGACCCTGGGTATCCTCAGAGGGTCCCCAGAGACCCAGGCTGGGTGCTACCATAGCCAGTGCCTGCCCCTCTGCACCCACTCGAGCTGCTCCCTGTGGGCCTAGAGCCTGCAGGGCTGGGACCTCCCCAGGGCCCCTCTTATCCCTTCTGGGGGTGTCACTGCTGGGGGATCCCCTGTGCTCCACACAGCAAGCACTGAGGGATGGATGGAAGCACTGAGGGATGGATGCCCTGATCCAGATGCTGGGACAGGCTGCACTTGGCATCTTTAGGGAATCACAGCACCTTCTCCCTGCAGTGACCTGTAAGAAGATCCCCAGAGTGCCAGCACAGCTCTGCTCCCCAGGGGCTGATCCTGACCTGCTGCTGGGCGTTTCCTGAGTGCTGCCAGCTCAGCCCCTTTCCACTTCTCTGAGATGACAGCCTGGGTATGAATCCCACAACCCTGGGATGTCTCAGGGTTCCCTCTCCTGCCAGGCTGATTTGGAGCTGCACTGGCAGCTGGTGCTGGAGAACATGGCCCTGACCATCCCCAGCACCCCGGTATCCCCCCTCACCATGCCACCATGCCTCTGTGCCAGCCCTGTCCCCAAGGGCTGGCTTGGCAGGAGCAGGGGTGAGGCTGCAGAGGCACTGCTCAGTCCTCCATGGGAGAGCCTGTCCCACCAGCACTGGGACCATCTGCAGGGTCAGCTCACCTCTTCTGTGAGCTGCTTCCCAAACCAGCAAACACCCCTGGGGACTGAGCCGGGGCCCAGAGTGGGGCCAACAGTCCCGAACTCCTCGGGAACTGCTGCAGGGTCTTACCCAGGGTCCAAATTCCCCCAGAGATGGTCCCAGCTGGCCATGGCTTGAAGGGTCAGAACGAAGCCAGCCGGGACCAGCAAGCCACATCTCTCTCACTGCCAGAGGTGGAGAGTGCCCGGGACTGAGCACATCCCATCGAGCACCCTGAGCAGGATTAGGCACCAACAGCAGCTCGACTTCCCAGGCAGCTCCAGGCTCTGGGGTCCCACTGCCTGTGCAGCCGGGGCCACCCCGAGGCTGGTGTCCGTCAGCTGCAGGGCACGGGCAGATGGAGCTGCTGAGGGCTGTGCCCTTGGTGACAGGTGGCTGTGGCTGCCCTGATGCCCGTCCAGCCCTGGCACTGCCCACAGTATCCTGCCCCCTCTCCTCCTTCAGTCCTCAATCTTCTCTGTCCAACAAGCCCTGCACGACAGCCCCGGCACCGATCCCGTGGCCGATGGTGGCTCTGCCCATCACACGCTCTCCTTGGCACAATCACCCGGCTCTCCGGAGGTGACTGTCCCCTCCCTGGTGGTGCTGTCGCCTCCTCAAAGCCCTCTTCCCAGTTTGGCCGCTTCAGTGGGGGCTCTGAATCTGTGCTCAGCTGTTCTCCCCGCCTGGGTGGGAGCTCAGCTCCCACTCTGACGCCGAGACAGGGGCTGGTCATCGGGCAGGCATCAGCTGCGCTGGCCGGGCTGTGTCACACGGCTGGGACACAGAGCCCTGCGCTGGACTGTCACCTGCCTGCCCCGGCTGCGTGTGCCACACCTGCGTGAGCCTGGGCTGAGCTGTCATACAGCGCTGGGACCGCGCTGGGACAGGGACCCGACGCTGGCGGCACAAGGGCGATGAGGGCGGTGTGAGGGCCCCCTGGCACCCCCAGCCCGCGGTTGGGGTGGGTCGAGCCGCTCTGCAGCTGCAGCAGCCCCGGGGCTGTCACGGCCACACACTGAGCAGCCGCTCGCACACAGCGACTGCGGGATGCTGCCACCCACCCACCGCCCTGAGCTCCCGCTGCCATCGCACCGCGGGGTGACAGCTGACACCTCCCCCAGCCCCTCGCACTTCTAAGTCCCATGGGAGTTACCCCTGGTGTCCTGCCTGCGCGTTCCTGAGCCTTTCGTGCCTCTCATATTCCCTAGGCTCCATGCCCTCAAACCTCTCATGTCCCCAAACCTCTGGTGTCCCCAAGCCTCTCACCAGGACACCCCTCGCAGCCTCCCCCGACAAGTGCTTGGTGCAGCAGTGCCGTTACCGACTGCCCCATGTCACCACCCTCGGTGACATCCCGTCCCACCCGGGCATGGCACAAACCACCTGTCGGTTTGGGGAGCAAAGAGCCCTCGGCAGAGGTGGCACCCGGGGCCTGCCCACCCACCCTCGGGGAGGTAGGGCAAGGTGGGTGACTGTCCCTGCTCGGGGCTGGGCAGCCGGGGCAGGCATGGGACAGGCGAGGGGTTGCCCGGAGGGTGGGGATGTCGCAGCCCCGGTGCCCGCGGAGGGTCCCCGCAGGACCGGAGCGAAGCGCTGGCCGGGCTACGGAAGGAGCCTTCCGTTCCTTACCTCCTTGCTGAGTAGCCGGGAGGATGGAGAGGAGGAGGAGGACTCCGGGGAGGAGGGGTGCAGCTGCCTGCCTTGCCATCTCTTGAAGCAATGCCCCCGTGCTCCCGCGGGCTGTGTGTTTTATCCCAGAGCTGCTTAATTGTTGCTTCCAAGGATGCGAGGGGAAGGGGAGGGGGGCGAGGAGGGAGGGGAAAAGGAGAGGGAGCGGGGGGGAGAGGCACAGGACACTACGTCATGAGGAAAGGCCAAACACACACGAGCCTCTCCCGCCGATTGGGCTGGCTGCTCGGGGAGGGTTTTTTTTTTCCTTTCCCCTTTTTTTTTTTTTTTTTTTTTTTAATTCTTTGCTGCTCTCTCCAAGCCGGAGCGTCTCTGCCAAAAAAGCTGGAAGAGGGGGGCAGTTGCCAAGGCAGGCGGTGGGGGAGGACGGGGGGGCTGTGCCCACCGGCATGGGGACCACGGGGGTTTAGGGTGATGGATGTGTGTCGCATCGCGACGGGCACCTGAGTGGTCTCGCATCCCCGGTGACACCGGGGCATTTCGCAACCCAGGTGGCATCGGCCCGAAGGGGGACTGGGGGGCAGGTGGGGACCGGCGGGGTGAAGGGATGGGGTGTCCGGGGGTGCAGGCGGGAATTCGGGGGATGCCACTCCAGCTGCGGGGCACAAGGGATGGGATCGGCCCGATGCCCGCTACCGTGCCCAGTGCCAGTGGCCCGTGCACGGAGTCCGGATCTCGGTGCCCGTGCCAGTACCGTTGCCCAGCCTCCGGATCCCGGTGTTAATGCCAGGTGCCCGGATCCCGGTGTCAGGTGCCGGTGCCCGGATCCCGGTGCCGGGTGCCGGTGCCCGGATCCCGGTGCCGGGTGCCCAGTGCCCGGGTTCCGGTGCCAGTGTCCAGATCCCGGTGCCAGGATCCCGGTACCGGTGCCCAACACCCGGGTCCCGCTGCCAGTGCCCCGACCCCAGCGCCGGTGCCGGATCCCGGTGCCGATCCCGGTGCCCGCCGGCGGTGGCCGTTAGGTGGCGGGCGCGGGGTGTGCGGCCGCTGGCTGGACGGGAAAACCGGGCATTTTGCAGGAAAACGTGCAGCCGGGCCCCGGGGGTCCCCTCCCTTCCAGGGGTGCCCTAGGGACACGCAGAGCCCGGCTCGGCCGGGGCTGGTGATGGACACGCGGCCTCCGCGACCCCCAGAGCCGGGCATGAGGGGGAGTTTGGCAGCTGAGCCACTTCCACCCCCAGCCCCTTCAGGGGTTTCAGGTTCCTCCAGCCTCGAGCCCAAGCCCGGGCCCTGCGTGTCCCCACTGAACTCCTCATCCTCCTTCTCGGGGGGTGTCTCTGGACAGGGCTTGGGGAGCAGCTGGGGCAGCAGTGCGTTAAATGGTGGGATCAGTCACAGCATCATGGAATGGTTGGAGTTGGAAGGGACCTTCAAGGCCATCCTGTTTCACACCCCTGCCATGGCCAGGGTCACCTTCCACTATCCCAGGCTGCTCCAAGCCCCATCCAGCCTGGCCTTGGGCACTGCCAGGGATCCAGGGGCAGCCACAGCTGCTCTGGGCATCCTGTGCCAGGGACTCAGCACTCTCACAGAGAAGAATTTCTTCCCAACATCTAATCTCTCACTCCCCTCTGTCAATATGAAGTCAGTCCCTCCATCCCTTGTCCCCATTCCCTCTCCAGCTCTCCTGGAGCCTCATTAGGCCCTGCAAGGAGCTCTGAGCTCTCCCTGAAGCCTTCTCCTCTCCAGGTGAGCACCCCCAGCTCTGCCAGCCTGGCAGAGGGGCTCCAGCCCTTGGAGGATCTCTGTGGGCTCCTCTGGACTTACTCCAGCAGCTCCACATCCTTCTTATGCTGGAGATCCCAAAGGTGGATAGAGCACTGCAGGTGGGCCAGAGTAGAAGGGAAGAATCTGTGTGGATGTGAATGAGAATCTGCTGTGTGGATGAAGCACAAGGAATGCAAAATCACCCTCTCCGCTGCAGGTCCAACACTGCCCCTTCCCCACGTGCCAAGGGTTTGAGATGCTGCTTATCCCAGTACCTGACTCCTCATGACCCCAATGTGCTGGGAGTGGGAGCACGTGCACGAAAATGCCCTGTCTGCACCCCCTTCCCGCAGGGTTCCCTGGCATCATTCCCCCCATTCCCCACACTCCTTCCACCGCCGCGGAAATTGGCAGCCAATTATCAGCAAATCCACCCGGTTCCTCTCCGGCTGCGCGAGGTGCGAAGGCCGGACCTGGCCGCCCACTTAAAGAAGTGTGAGCTCAATCCACGCTCGGGACCGGCCCTCCGGAGCCTGCCTGTCTGGCTTATCTCAGCTCCCACTTTATTTTAGGGAAAGCGCTGATGGCTACGGCCGCAGGAATTCCGGGAGGTGGAAATCACGGAGCGTTTTGCCCTCCACACCCGGTGCTGGGACACGCCGAGGAGCTGGGGAGGGGAGGCTGTGCAGGAGCCCCTCGGTGGGCTCCGCATGGAGGCGGATTTTCTATTCACCTGCACAGGGCAAAGGGCTGCGGGCACGGGACAGGGGACGAGCATCGGCAGGGACAGCGCAGCCGGGCTGGCCCCGTCCGTCCGTCCGTCCGTCCGTCAGTCCGTCCCGCTGGCGTTGCCAGGTGATGTAATGCTTGAGTGAAAACACACGCGGTCGTTAAACACGAGCTCTCCGCTCCAGATGAGCGACGCGGGAGCAGATGGATGCGGGGATCGGCAGCTTTGCAGCGGCTCCAGCAGCCTCGGGCCGTGATGTGGCCCTCGGGATGCAGCCCCCCGGGCGGGGCTGGCCGGGTGATGCATCCTCGATGCGGGCGTCTGCAAAACATGCAGAGAGCTGGGCTGGGAAAGCGGCCTCGCTGGGAATCAGAACTGGGGCAGTTGGCCGGCTCCGAGCAGCTCCCAGCCCTTGCCAGTGAAACGGCTGTGACTTTTGAATGCGTGTTTTGTACCTAGAAAGAATAGATGTGAGGCAAGATCTCCCGCCCCTGGCACTCGTGCCGGGGAACGGGATCCAAACCCTTTGTGATTTGGCCGGAGCGCTCCGTGAGCCGCCCGCGGGGATGGGCTGGCAGCGTTCCCCCGAGCTTGCAAAGTGTCAGAAGAAGCTGCGAGGAGGGCACAGAGACGGGCACGGTGTGACAGGAAAGGGGCAAAGCAGAAAGCGCTGCCCACACAGCGGGGCCCGTGCGGAAAAGGAGGGGGTTTGCTGCATGGTGCAATATCGGGGTGGGAAAACCCACGACGAAGGCTGCAGCAAGAGCACCTGTGGCTGCAGCCTGTACTAGCACGGGGGGCTCCCGGGAGCCGTGGCAGCTCCGGGAAGGATGGATGCTTCCTGCAGCCGGTCGGTGGCAGGTGCAGGTTACACACAGCTCCCCCAAACGCTGACATAGTTGCTGGGGGAAATGCCAGAGAGCCTTACGCTGCTGTGACACTCGCGGGGAGCTCTCCCGGGGGTAACACCGACATGCAAAACACAGCAGTAAACACCCCTTTGCCATAGCTACAAGGAGCCCCACACCTGCCCGGCCCCCCGCACCCCAACCCTGCTCCTGGCGCTGTTGACGGCGTTGTCATAGGAAACGGCACTGCCGGGGTGTGCCGGGGCCCTGCGGTGCCTGCGCCGGATGCGCTCAAAGGAAAGGTATGTGCGAGGGGCAGGTCACACGCATCGAGTCGTCTCGTCACCGTCCCAGGGAAGCTGAGGCTGGTACGCGGCTTTGGAGCAGCCAAACTCACCGTGATCATGGAGCCTGAAGTTTTCATTCCTCCTATGTCTCTGGTGAGCAAATGCTCCGTGTCTGGGGTGTGTGCCAGGAAGGTGGTGAAGGGACAGAGGAACTGCCTCTTCTGATGCCGAGCATCCTTAGGTTTTCCTGCCTTGGTTCACCACTGTTAACTATTGACCAAGAGATCATCACCCCTGGATATGCTGTAGAAAGGAAGTTCCAGACTAGAGAGACAGTCTGAAAAGCACACCTCTGTCAGACATCCCAGAGAAAATCCTCACGGTACACGGGGCAGGAGGATTGTGAGGCATGGACAGGGCTCTGTGGTACCTGGCAGTCAGGACATCTGCTCAGGCTTATTTTCAGCAAGCAAAACCTTTTTGTTTTGCCAAGTCCCCCACTCAGAGGTGTTTTCACCAGCCCACTGTTGTCCCATGGCTCTCCTCATGTTAAATCACCGGGGATCTCTGGGTGCTCTGAACGTGGGTCCTCGTCTCTCCCCTGTGCATCCCACTGGATCCCCCAGCACCTTCCCTGGGGGAACATTCAACCTCGTGCACAGCCCATGCCACAGCCCCACAGGACACCCACACGGGGCAGCCAGGGAGCCATCCTGTCCTCAGCGTGAGACTGGAAGCCACCACAGACATATTCCAGTGTCATGGGCAGGCTCCTAGGATAGAAACATAGAAACATGGAATGGCCAGCATGGAACGGGACCTTAAACATCACCTGACTCCAATCCCCTTTCCCTCACTATCCCAGGTTGCTCCAAGCTCTGTCCAGCCTGACCTTGGACACTTGCAGGATTGGATTTTCCCAGTTATCCCTGCACATTTGCTGCTGGGGTGTTTGTCAAGGCAGGACGAGCATTTTCAGCTCTGCAGGGGCTGTTTGGGGACTGGGAGGCTCAGGCAACCTCTCCCTGACAGGTCCCATTTTCTGTTGGGTTTGAAGGTTTTTGTGATCCCATCCGTACCTCGCCTATCCTTCACTTTCCATGAGCTCCTTTCCCTGGAAGTCCCTTCCCACAGTTGTTATGGGAAGAGATTTTGCCAACACAAGGATGCTGCTTGGAGGGAGCAGGGCTGGAGCACCAGCCCAGGGCCATGGGGGGATGCTGTTCCTTGACATGACCAACAGAAACAGCACCTCCCTTCCAGCACCAGAGAGCCACTTGAGATCTCTTGGGAATGTTTGTCATTGGAGACTCCTCATGAGGAGAAGGGGAGACACCTTCTCCAGCCCCAGGCAGAGACCCCATCCCAGGCTTCTGTTTTCTGCTGGGCAGGAGCAACCAGGACCAGATCCATATCTCTTCCTTGGTAACCCATCCTGCTCTTGTCCCCCCAAGATGCTCTCCTTTTCCATCTTTCTACCAGTTTTGGTGCCTGGTTCTGCCCCCTTTGGCCCCCTCTCTCTCCTGTATC